TTTTTTTTTTTTTTTTAAATCTGTCCTTTTCCCTGTAGATTTTGTTTTTTCATGGTGAAAACCTTCCCAAATCTTTTTGGATGGTGTGGAAAGCCAATTGTTACTTACACATGCCAATTAATAACAGGTCTTTAATTTTTTCCAAAGCTATCTTGCAAACGGAAGCTGCTCTGCTGAGAAGGTGCTCCCTGGGAGAACCACACTGCAAGCCCACGCTCTTGGGAAAGTACACCATTGCTTTCTGGTGTTGGAAGCCCCTTCCAATCTTGTGTCTGTGAATCGTCAGGTCCAGTTTTCTCCTCTTGGACAACCTTCTACTGGTCCCAGACTTGCCAGGCACCTTCATGGCCTTCACCACTCCTCTAAGCCAAACTATTGCATACAGCTGTGAGAGATGAGATGCTGCTCCTTGCTGTGGTGCTTGAGGGTTGCCTTGCGCAATGGCCATCTCCTTTCTTTACTGGGTTGGAGAAATGTGAGGGAGAAGGGATTTGCACTGCATTCATATGCAAGGCGCCTGTGCTCCCTGCCAAGGAAGGGGCTGCCTCTGCTATGAAATGGCAGATTGTGATTGTAAAGTCCTGCTTTGTGGGGGAAATCCCACTTGTTTATGCAACTAATCCCCAGTGAAGTCAACAAGCTTTTGTAGGCAGGAGAATGGATTTTAGTCTTTAAATGCCAATGTGGTTATAAAATGGCCAATTGCAGTATTGGCCTCAACCGTGATGGCACCTTGAGATTGACTGCAGAAAACGGTGTGGAAAGTGTGAGGCAGTGTCCCTGTGGTGCTTCTGTAGTGGAGGGGAGAGGGCATCTCCAGAAGGTTTTGGGAAAGCTCCTTCTGGGACTGTGCCTACCTCTTGCATGGGAGCACGTTGGAGATAACACTCTTGTTTAAGTCTTGCCATGCTTTTAACCTTCACCTACAGATACTCAAAGGAAAAACCTAGCTTCTTCTAACCAAATTAGCTCTGTGTTTTCATCTGCCATTATGTTAATGCAATGCGAAGCTCAGCAGATGGCACAAAGTAAATTATGCTGGGGAGGAGGGGGTGGAGGAGGAAGCAAAATTGACCTTTCTAGGACTTGCTGTTTTTCCACAGCATGGTTTGAAATGTAAAGTTCCACGTCCTGCTTAAAGTCACATCAGTCAATGCAAAGGCAGACAGAATAGGCACAGAGATGACAACGAATGTTAACTCTCCCTGGCATTGAATGTTTCTGAGCTTAATTTACCTGCACATTTGTTCAAAGAGCCCAGCGTATCCCTCACAAATGCTCTTCCCCGTCTGAAGCACATCTATGGGTTTGCTCGACAGCTGGCTTTTGTTATGGTAGCCCACTACGTCGTATTCTGCGGGAAGGAACACAGACGAAAGTTCATCCAAAAGCCTGAGGCAATGGGATCGACAGGCAGCAGGAGCAACGCTTGGATTGCTTTTCAGCTCCATGAGCACGAGCAAAGAGAAACGAGCCGTGGCACGTGCTGCACAAGGATGTTGTGGATGGCTGGTGGGGGGAGAGGGACAAGGACTATCTCTCATCACTGTTTGTTCTAAGCCTGGGCTGGGATTCAGCAGTGGAATCCAAATGGGAGGAAAACTCTGCTTTTTTAGAGAAAGCGGGCCTCCCCAGGGGCTGCCCTTGTGTGTGGGGATCTACAATATCAAGAGCTCCTGGTAAAAAACAGAGCTCTGCATTTGAAAGAGTCGGACTTGTGTTACTGTCAAAGGAAACCATTGAGCTTTTTGCATTCTTTACAAGCAGTTTGTATTAAAATTACCTGAAAAGTAGCTTGTTGGGAAATACCTGAAATGATTTGTTGCAAGTGAGTCATATTAATACCTGAAAGTGTAGGAAACCTTAATTTGTTTGAATGAATGCAGAAAAGTGGTACAGCAGGGTTCGTTCAGACAGAGCTTGAGGAACTGGTCTGCGAAGGTTAATTCAATACTGACCAACCTTGGTCATGTCCATAACCTCTTTCTTAAAATACGAACATATTTTTCTGACAAAGCTCTAAGGAATGCTGCATCAGCTGATTCATCATCCCTTTAATGCTGTGGAAGAGGAAAAAAAGCTGGCAACACTCTGTATTTGTGCTTTGATGAAACACTGCAACTGCTTGTCTTTTATCTAAGGGAGCTCAGCTGTCAGCTGCCTCAGGGTTGGCTCGTGGGGCTGTAGGGAAATGCTGGCTTTCTCGACCTGGGCTGTTCACTGGGCCACCAGCAAAGCTGCAGAGCACTTTGAGGGGTATGGAGAGCTAGCTGGCTGCACGTGGCTCTGTATTTATGCTAGAAATGATAGCTAAAATAATTTCTTTTAGTGCTACTGCTGCATGGAGGTAGCAGTCCATCACAGGCAGGGAGTTGAACTGGGTGGGAAGAGATACCCAGGGAGCAGCGCTCTCACTTAAAATCCAAATAAGGAAGGAGTTTATGTAATCAGTGCTCTTCCAGGATAGATACGTTGCATTTTCGTGAGCCGATTTAAATTCCTAGCACTGTGTTTGTTTCCCATGCATGTAAATAGGGGTCAACCTCTGCAGGAAGGAAGGAGAACCGGGGCCAAGATGGCGTAAAAAAAAAAAAATCTTGTGAGGAGATCACAGCGTACCTGTTGGGGACCAGAGACATCCTGTGAATGCGTGTAAGGTAAATGGACTGACTCAAACCAGACTGGCCATCCCAAGCAGGATCTGGCCCAGGCAGTGGCAGGCAGAAATGAGTTAATAGCATAAAAACTGAATGACCAGTAGCCGACAGGAGCTTGGCACTGGGATGAGTCAAATGCTCGGTTTCAGGAAATGCAGTGAAATCAGCAGTCTGTATATTTGAGGGCAAGATTAAAGCTGCTTGGGATTGACCTAACTATGCTAACCGTGCAGTTGCTGGCAAAGCTCTGCTGATCTCAGTGGGTGTGAGATTAGGCTAGTGCTTCCCAAATTGCTCTTCTGCTCTCCATCAGCTGGCCTGTTCAGCCAGCGAATTGCACTGCACCAGAGCCTGTCAGGATGTGTAAGAGGTGAGGGAAAGAATAGCTGTACAGCTGTACTTCTCCCCTTCCTTCCCCAAGAGATAATGGGAAAGAAGTATTTTTACATATGCTATGCAAAATGCAATCAAGTTGCACATCCAGTTTCCCCCCACTGAGGAGCTTGGGGTGGCAAGAAGCTTTTTGCCCCCTCTGATGTGCCAGACTGGAGAGGCTACAAATGCTGCCTCATCCTCCTTCCTTGTCCTCTTCGCATCTTGGTTATTTCTGAAACACCAATGTTTCCTGGGCTGGGGTTGGGTAGGAAGGGGCAGGGGAAACTGAGTGATTGAAGCTCTTATGAAGGTTGAAAGGGTGCACGTACAGGCAGGAACAGCAATTGAGCAGGTGCCAGCACGTTTTATGAAAGCTGGCCTCTCTGATGTGCTGCGCTGATATGGCTGATGGACGTGTCAATAGGACCAACGCAGTTAGGTACCAGCTAGAGACTGGAGTGCGGGATGTATCCATGATACTCAGGGGCAAAGCTGGCCATAAAAACAGCCAAGAGACTGTCAAAGGCAAGAGGGCACCTCACGCAGGACTGGTTGTGCTGAGCACTGGGCTGGGTCCAGGCTGCTCCTTGCAAGGGCTGGTCTGCTGCCCAAAGAGGGAGAACAGAGGAGCTGCAGAAGCAGCTGTGATGACACCGAGCTGGGAAAGGCAGCTTGATAGTTCCTGGTGGTACCTAAGCTACACCGAGATCCTCCCAGAGCAAAGGCACCAGGATGCAGAGTGCTCTGGGAAGGGCTGCATGGGGGTGCAGGGATTCAGGACAGTAGTGGAGATGAAACTTCTGGTGGCATTGGATGGCTCTGAAGGTGACAGCCAAGCCTCTGGTGCTTGGCAGCCGGGCTTCATGCTCTGGCTACTTAGATGATACAGACTTGTATGGTTACACTCGCAAATAAATCAGGTAGGAGTTACAGATTCATCACGTGGAAAGAAATCATTTACACGCAAACCTTGTAGGGCCTGGCAGTGCTAGGAGAGGAAGTATGGAAACAGAGATTGTGAGATAACCTCTGAATATATTTCTGGATGAATACATCCAGAAAGTCTTCCTACCACCCACCACGTGAAACTAACCCACAAGATATATAGTAAACTGCAATGGCAGAGTAACAGAGCAACAGCCTTATCTTCTCAACTGAAGATCTCAACCTACCTATGTGATGGCATATCCACATCCATATGGCTCGGACTTTCTCCAGATCAGTCCGGGCTTGTTTAAGCAGGGCTTTAACAAGTTCCTCTACGCTGTTCTTGACGTTTACCTGTTTGTGAGGAGGAAGCATTGCAAGATCGTGGTGAAGAAATTGCTATGGTAGATCTCCCTTCCTCCCTGCTCCCTTGTTCTTCTAAAGCTAGTGAGAACCCCACCTGCCAGGAGACTGCTCTAACTCGAGCTTCATTAAAAATAGAAATACAAAGCCATGTTTCAAGCAAGAAGTATTTTTGGTCATAGTTTCTGTCCTAGAGTGGGAATCTCTGTTTGCAGGGAAATGGTTTTTCACTTGTTTGGGAGATTTTGAGGCACTTGCCCTGATAGCTCAGACTAAGCTGGTGTTAGTGCTGGTAGCTAGGTTTCAAGGAACATCCCCGCAGGGGAGCCGGGAGGAGGACAGAGGCAAAAGCAAGACTTACTTTTAATGCATAGGCATCCAGCTTCTCAAATTGCTGCAGATCTACTGGCATGGATTTCAAAGAGGATTTGTCCCATGGATATGCTGGGAAGAAACAAGTTCTCATTGTCTCGGGAAGGGAGGGGGTATTTTTCCTGGCTGTATGCTTGAACAAGGGGACACAGCAGAGCTCCTGCCCGACCTGTGGAGGCATCCATCAGCAGGTGCTCAGGGAGCAGAGGACACGAGGGCACTTGCAGAAGGTCCCTGCCAGCTGCGTGGAAAGCAGGAGCCATCCTGTCTAGTCTAGTACAAATTGGGCAATGCTGGGGTGGGAGGTGCCCCTGCATCTTTGGCACTGTATAACAGCATAGAAAATCCCAGGATGTTATATGGAGGTGCACAAGATATAAAGCAGGAGTATCAGGGAAAATCTGTGCTGTGGAAACCCTGGCAAAACCATGACTTTTTAAAAAACTCAGCAAAGAGCTGCATTTCTTCAGTAGTTTTGCTGAAAGCGATGATTATTTTGCATGGTAAAGGGCCACAATTCTGCATGAATTCAAGCGTGTGAGAAACGTTACATGGGGAGCAGTTGGACTGAAACCGGTGTGCCTGCCCCTCTGCATCTTTGCAGGCTCTAGGCTCCCAGTTCTACTCAGTGTGAATAAAGGGTTAATAACTTGCCCTAATTAATCAGATAACTTATTTTTTAACAGCCTCTGAATGAGCTGACGCTGTTCTCCCTCATCAGTGAGCCACCCGAGTGATCCAGCTATAGCTCAGTGCACAGATGTATCGGATGGACATCTCCCCCAAATCGCTGTCTGCTCAGCACTCCCTTTTCTTCTGGGCTGGTGAGAGAAGAATTGAGCTCTACGGCAATCTCTCCCCCTGTCATGTGCTGTCAAAGCCATTCTGGACTAAAGAGATTCTTCTAGCTATCTCTGTAGGATTGTTATTTCTCTGGAAAAGAGGATTTAAAAGAGATCACAAAGTGAAAATGCTGTTGCGTGAATCCTGAGTGCTGGGCGAGGTGAATAATGGTGCCGTAGAGCTGCTGTTTGTCTGGAGAGAGGTGACAAGGAGAAGTGAACTGCCTTGGGCTGCATGTGGGGGGACAGAGGCTTTGGCTGGTTGCATACTGCTTTATTCTAGACCCTTGCTAAGCAAGTGGGCCGCCACTCTGCTGCCTGCTCAGTGGGTGCCAGTGGGAGCAGGATGTACCAGAGGCTCCAAGAGCATCCTATCCTACCTGAGAAGCCAGCAGTGCTTCTGAAATCTATATTCATCACCTGCTCCCTCTCTATCTCCCCAAAATGGGGCTCTGGCCCCTTTGCTGCCAGCTCCAACCCACTGGGGAGGTGGCCAGAAGGTCTATTCCTGACTTGCAAAGGTGTTTTGTTAACGTGAGCCCTGCTTTTCTTGGAAACCTCTGCCCCCGTCCCGGTGACGGTGCAGCCTGCCAGGCGGAATGCAGGCACATCCCTGTGCCGGGCAGGTGCCCGTCTGCCAAAATCAGTGTGTAGGCACACGGCATCTGTTTCTTTAACAGGTTTGTTTGTTTATCTCTGTTTTCCCTGAAAAGGGCTATTATGCTGACCTAAAGAGAGATAAAGCAGATTGATGCGTTTAAAGGTTCCCACTCTCTACAGCTCTGAAAATTACTTTTTGCCTTTTGGGAACAGGATTTTTTTTTTTTTAAATTGGTTATCAGTTTTTTGTCTTTGTCAGGTTATAGCTGCAAAGGCTCCCCGCAGATGTGGGATCCGCAGTAATTCATGTAGCCCTGTGCAGTTAGGAAGTGTGCATCGTGCCTGTTTGCAGAGTAGCCTTCCTCAGGTGCGGAGCCTTGGGAAGGTCTCGGGCATGTGTGACATTCCTAAAGCCATCCCCATCTGCCAACCTGATGAACAGGGGGCTGGGAAGCTGAACACTACTCGTGGTAATAGAAATTAAATCCCTTGTCTGTCTTCCCACTTCAGTCTAGGCTTGCAGCAGGGTAAGCCCTGTTTCTAGGACTGAAGGGCTTCCTATCTGGGGCTGCCCTGCATTGTGCCCCACCATGCCACTGGCGTGGGGCAAGGGGACAGCTGATATTTACTGTGCAGGTCTTTTCCTCCTGGCGGCCGTGGGGCTTCGGTCCTCTGGAAACCTAGAAAATTGGGGAAGGGAGCGTGAGGTGAGCAGTTGTTGGCAGGAGAAAAAAGACAAATGGAAATAAATTATTCTGGGGAGCAGGACTGGGTGGAAAAAGTTGAAATAGAGGCTTTTCTTTGCCCGTTCCCTAGCATTTGGGCATGGATGTCAACACCCTGCAGAGCGTGGGTGCCGAGGGGAGAGGGATGAAGCAAGCTGCCTGGACAGCCACTGCACCTTGCATCCCCTCCCCGCTGTCCCAAGGCTCTGCACAGAGGCCACATTCCCTGGTAGTCAGACATCTCCTGTTCTAGCCTGAGGGTTGGGGACTTCTAACCCCTGCACACCACCCAGCCAAATCCCCCAGGCATAAAGAAGGGAGAGCTGAGCTCGAGAGCTGTTAGATGATAACCCTGCAGAGCGCTCTGCAGGAGCTGGAAGATTTCTGAGGGACGCTGTGGCCCCCAGACTGTCACCACCCACCTTATCCCAGAGCCTGTGGAGGAGGAGACTCCCCTTGCCCCAGGAGCAGAAGGATTTTGCTCCTCAAGGTGCTGGCAGGGTCCAGCAGCATCTGCCTGGCAGGGAGAGCGGGCATAGGGGTTGGCATCCTCTCAAGACCCTCGAGCTCCCGTGGGTAGAAGGGAGCCTGTGTCCTCCTGGGAGCAACCTGCTGGGCAAGGGCTAGCTTGGAGACATGCGCCATGGCAGAGCAGAGCCTCACCTTTGTTGTCCTGGCCTCTCAGGCTGGGTAGCCTCCGGGGACCTGCAACAACCCTGGCATGGTTAGTGCAATCATCGCAACCCCTACCCTGGCTCAAGGGGTGCAACATCTCCTTGAGCTCCCAGAGGGCTTCTTGCCCTCCCTACTTCTGCATAGGGAAAGATGCGGCCCCTTCTCTCTCCCACCCTTGACCCACTCTGCCAGGATTCAAAGCCTGGGCTGTACCTTTTCCAAAGGAGAGTTTCTTGAAGAGTTGTGGGGTGGTATCCTTGGGATGAATCTCCACTGTCACTTGGGTTCCTGCAACAAATGATGACAAACTCCCTAAGAAAGGGAAAACTAACCAGGACGCAGAGGAAAAGGGCAGGATTGTCTGCCAAGGCATTGCTAAAGCCAGTTCTTAACTTTAGCAAAAGAAGTGGCAGCTCTGGCCATTGCGAAGGTGCCAAAGCGCTTGGCTTTCCTGGCAAAACAAAGCACCCTTAAGGTAAACTGTACAGCCAGAAAGCCTCTGGTCACCTCCGGTGTGATTTGTAATTCTCAAAAAAACTCCAAAAAACCCGCAGCCCGTTATAGCCTAACAGGTGATAAAGCGGATCATAAATAAAGCAGAGGTCCTCAGCGAGGATTATGTGGCAGCTTAAAAAAAAAGGTTTATCACCATATTAAATAGCTCTTGATGGAGATACGGTAAGAAGAGAATCAATTTCTTTCATTGATTTTTCTTGGAAACAAACACAAAAAGGCTCAGAGCTATGAAAATGGATACTTGTGATACTAAAATCTTTGGCAGAGGCCATTGCCTGTAAAAGGCAGCGTCCTGGCAGAGCTGGCTGCGGTCCAGGTGTCCCGTGGGACTTGCGCTCTGTGTGCCATGATGCTCCAGAACAACCTCAGATGGAAATCTGGGGGTCTTGTGTTTAAAGTTTTATAGACAGAAGTACAAGGAAAAAAGTTGGGGAGTGTCTTATAAGAACTACCTGAACTTTTTGAAAGAGACTGCATTTTTTTTTTTTTGGCAAGTATTTCAGAAGGTTTTGCAACCACCAAGGTTCCCTGGAGGACCTCGGCGTGCTCGTGGGCTCCCCATTTTGGATCAGACAGAGGTTACTTTGGAGACTGAAGGTCAAGATGTTAATGCACCTTGGGGCTGCCATCCAATTGCACATGCTACTTCCTACAGTTTTATTGAGAGTCTCATGACATTTGGGGTTTTCCTTGAAAGCCAGCTCTTGGAAGCAGCTAATTAGGCAGGAATCTGCACTTTCATCAAAGAATAAGTTTTTCCTCAGAATTTAACTTTAGAAAGAAGTTTTTTTTTATCTCCTGTGATTATGCAGAAAAGTTTGATGTCCTTTAAAGCCCCAAAAGCAGAAGGCAAGAAAAACTGTAAAACCTGTAAAAAAACCCCTTTTAAATCCTAGAGTTTTACTCCAATTCTGGGATGCTTGCATACATCAGGGTGTCAAGACTAGAGCTGGTTGGTATATCTTGTCAGTTAATTCAAAGGTAAAATTAAGTTGTTTCTCAAAGACATGACTTTGTGCAAACAGTATAATTTTCTTACGATTTTTATATTTTCAGGGGTCCTTTTTTATTTCTCAAGATTATTTTTGTATTTGGGGTTTTGTGAGTTGTCTTGCCAACTTCCACTTTCTCAGTTTTCCCCATAAATTAAAATTCTTTGTTTTCAAGAAACAAATTTAACAATGAGGAATGCCTTCCTCCAGTAAGTTTAAAAGGCATTTAACAAATGAAAAAATGTAATTCCACAGAAATTTTTCAAAGTCCTACAACCATTGCTTTAAAAACTAATGGTATGAAATGGTTGCTGATGTTTTTCACTATTCCCAATCAAGACATCCTTCATAAAGAAACACTTGCATTTCTCCTCATTCTCTGTGGCCAGACACGTCCTTGGCCAGTGAGTGCTTTGGGGTGCAGCTGGCCCAGCACTGCCCCTACTCTAGTGCAGGGATGGCTCCTTGCAAGGATCTACCCTATGATAGGAATTCTGCAACCAGCTGTCTTAAGCTAAAGTTCTGCCAATATTATTTCTTCCAGCCCTTGTACCCTTCCATCAGCACCGGAATATCTGTCATTGGCAGGAGTATGTTGTTATCATGCTTTCTGATTATATCTATGCTATGTCCTGGTGGTCAGGGGGATGGTGGGAACTGAGGTGCTCCAGGACCCACCTCCACGCATCCATGCTGAAAGACCCAAGGATTCTCCAGGCTCCCCTGGGATTTTTAATTCTTCATGCTCAAGATCACAAAATGGTCAGGGTGGGGCTTTTCTGCTTTTTTGGTGTGTTCTGAGGTTATTTTATTACAAAAAAAGCTTGAGTGGGAGCTCACTGAAGTCCTGCTCTGAAAAACCGTTATCTCTTGGGTTGCCACTTACCTTCGTTAGAGTAAGAAGTAACGGCTTGTGTCTGCTTGCAGGGCTCCCTGGAGCCTCGCTGGCCTGGTGGCGAAGAAAACCATCTTAGTGCCTTGAAGAGAGCAGAGGTGCCCGGCATGGAGGTGGACTAAATCTGTGCCTTTGCTCAGCAGCGAAGTAAGTAATGACACAAGAAGCCTGACCCTGTTCTCCGGCTTCGAAGCCCAATTGCTCGTGGTCCAGGGGCGCCTTGGCCCCATTCCAGAGGGATGCTTCAGCCTGGGGAAGGGCTGGAGCAGGCACTGCCACTCAGGGGGGTTAGGGTGCTTGGACCAGCGGGTGCGTGTTTGGAGAGGTGGGTTGGGAGGGAACAAGCAGTGTGGGGAGCTTGCAGGTGATGTGGTCCCTGAGTGGGAGCATGGTGCGCTTCGCAGCATCTCATCCTCATCTTCATCTCTGCCCTCTGTGCTCCGGGAGCCCCTGACCATCTCAGTGATGCCAAGCCCCAGGGTCCTTGGGGCAGAGGGAGGTGAGTGGAGCACCTTGCATGCCCAGAGAATTGTAGGCAGCATAAATCCGCTCCCTGAGGCTGCACTGACAGTTAGCCAGGGCGGTCAGCAAATGCCAGATGACACTAAGCATAGCTCCCCGCATGGCTTTGGATGCTCGAGCCTTGCCGGAGGTGGGGTGGATGTTGGCCAGGATGCCAGGGCGATCCCTCACTCTTTTCCAAAGTGTCATGGGATCATTGTCCTGCCAGCCACCAGAGACCAGCACAAGGAACCTGGTTTTTACGGCTCGTCCTGAAGGCCAGATACCATTCGTACCTCGTGGCTGTGACAAGGATCAGGCCCGTGAATGATGGGATTTTGTGGCGCGGCATGGGGCCGCAGCCTATTTACCTCGGTGGGGTTGGGGTGAGGCTCATGTAATACAGTTTGTAAATATTGTGGCAGCACCAGCTGCTCGATGGTGTCAGAGGCTTCACCAAGATGCTAACATGGCTGATTAAAGGGGAAATTATTAACCCCTGCGGTGCTAGAGGAGTGAGAGCTCTGCCTGTTCCTCTGGTGTCTGAATTCCTTAGTAATCCTCACGAGGATTTAAATTGTGCCTAAGGTAGAGCTGCAAGGAAAGGTTTCTCATATGCATGCTAAATACTCCTGCCATTAGTTCGGGGTGGTGAATGATCGATACCGTCCTCTCACTCCTAATGGAGGCTCTGATTTGTCTCTGCAGCTCTGGTTGCAGACCCTCTTGAGCATGACGGAAGAGCAAGAGAGTGTTGAATATTTATCTGCTTCCCAGGGTGCAGGCTTTTGTTATCTGGTGTCTGAGACATCAGATTAAAAAAAAAAAACAACCAAAAACAACCCAAAAAACCCAAACCCCCAAAGTTGTATCTTGCCATGAAATATTGCTTGCTCAGAGTCTGTGAGCACCGTCCAGCCACCACTGATTTCAGAGGGGCTTGGATCAGGGCTCCTATCAAGCATCGTAATGGCTTTTGTATACTGTTATTGCTTCGCTTGTGGAAGCAAAGTTCCTGTTTGGTATAACTAGAATCCACTGTTTGGTACCATGAGAATTACCTGTTGTCTTGCTTTACCTTTGCCCCCCGCCTTTTTCTGCTAGACACCACATTAGGCTTAGACTACCAGGAAAGCAAGTTGGATGGTCTGATTCCCTTCCCCAGGAGCTGCTCTGTCCTGTTACATCGCAGTCCTGCAGCCTGGCTGCATGCAGCCAGGGGTAACCCCTTCAGGTGTTCCTTCTGAACTGTTTCAGGGCAGAGGGGTGAGGAACTGGCAGGGGAACATTCAAGACTAGCAGCTACATCGTTCCTGGATAGCAATCACACCTGCCTTGCACTCAGCAATCTCTGAGCGGGGGAGATGAAGAAAGGGCTGGTGGATAGATGGCTTGAAGCCCCAAAGGTTTCTTGCACACCCCAGACCCTGCTTAAGCTGTGTGAGTGCTGGGGAAGTCTCTGGAAGCTCTATCTGCAACCTGAGCAATTTGGGGCACTGAATTTCCCCTGCTATCAGCTGGCTGTGAAACATAAGAGCTCCGTGCACCTGAAATATGACCGAGCTCCATGGCAGCTTGCAGGAGAATCCTCTGCAGATGGCCATGCGCAGGCTCTGCAGTGCCACTGATGTGCGTCCTGGCCGTGGGGCAGAGTAGGGTACGGAGGGGATGCTTCCCATGGTGCAAGGCCTGAGGCCCTCCACATGTCTCTATTGAAACCTCCCCAAAAGTGCTGGAAAGGGATGGGTTGTTTCAAGCACATTTATGCTCGAGAGGCACAGCTGGGTGCTAAAAGCTTGCAAATGGGTTTTCTGTGCTGTGGCTAGTTTATCAGTAGAGTGAGAAGATGACATACCGTTAAGGTCTTTCCCCTGAGGTGGCTGTGATCTGCAGTTTCCATTTCCATCATCCTGCAAACCTATAAAATATAAATGTGAGATTGGCAGGCTGTCCTCCTGGAATGAGGTTCTGGCACTGCCTGGAGGCCAAGCACCCCGAAACCTTTCATGTAACCCATCATTCCAGCTGAATCCAGGTATCATTGGGATACACCTTCCCTGTCTTGTCTGCAGCATTTGTTGCAGCCGCTGTTGCTAGAGTGTGAAATACCAGGAGGAAGAAAGTGCAATAGTCCAGGTCTAAGTTGCTTCAATAGGGCTTGCTCGTATTTGGGTAGGCGCTGGATGCCGTGTTAGATGAAGCATGAACACAACTTCTGTATTAGCTTTGCCTATCCTTGTTAGCCTGGAACTGGTTATCTAAAAATCTAGCTTTTCACCAAGGTTTTAGAGCAGGAATACTCCTTTTTCTCCTTTTACTTCTGCAGGGAGGGTCCCCTTACAGTTGCAGAGCACAGTCTTAGCTTTTTGGAAGATCCCCTGAAGGGATAGGAGCTGGGCCAGGGAGACTGTCCCAAACTGTAGCTATAAATGGCTCAGGGTAGTCATCCTTGGAGACAAAGCCTAGACACGCTTCAAACAAAACAGTTTTGCCCACCCCTGTACTCTGTTGTAGTAGGTGCTGGTCTGGGGTGAAACTGTCGAGCTCTCCCCCTGCTCCCCTTGCACAGCCGAGAGAGCCTGTGGAGGCATCTCAGGGCCACCGCAGGACAGAGCAAGGTGCAAACGTGGTCCTCAGATTAGTATCCGTGCATATGTCACCTCCTCCTGCACCCTGGGTTGCATGCACCAGAGTCAGACACTGAGTAACATGCAGCATGCCACACTGCATGAGCAAGGGCTCTCCTGCACCAGCAGGAGGACCAGCGAAAGCACGCTGGATTTCTACAAAAAAAAGTTTGAAGTTTGGGGGTTTTGCAGCACGTCTGCAAAGGAAAAGGGGGGGGGGAAGCCCAAACCCTGCTCCAAAGCTGCTGCTTCGCTTCACTGTCTCCTGGGCAGCCGGTGCTGCACCTGCAGCCCTCCCCTCCGTCACACCAACTGCAGGCGGGACTTTACCTGCGCTTCGGCTCTCTTCTGTCTGCCTCTCTCTCTGCCCTTTCTGCTTGCTTGCTGTCTCCTCAGGGTGGACAATAAGCAGCAAATTGATCGTTACTGCACTGGGATCTGTCTTAAAGTCCATGGTACCCATCAGAGCATGGCCAGGGTGCCGGTCCTCCTGCGGAGCTGCTGCTGCTGTGAGCTGCCGTGTTTATTTTCCGCCCTTGGAAAGGCAAGCGCGCTCTCTCCCAAGCCGCAGCACTGGCGGGCTGGCCCCGCCAACTGCACCATGAGTGCTCTGCCAAAGCTGACCCTAATGAAGAGGTTACAAGTCACCTTTGAAAGGAAATCACAGGAGGGATCCGTTTCCTAAAGCAGAGGAAGGAGCTGCATTTTGGCCAGGGGGGTCTGGTTTCAGAGTGTGCCCCTGGCTCCCCCTCCCCTCTCTCTGCCCTTTTCAGCTTTAAGCGCTTGTCTACACTCAAATCCCCCAGCAGCACTGTTTGCTGGGGGAGATTTGCTTCCCGGCGCTGGCAGAAATCCTTAAAAGGCTTTCTCCTTTGATCCTCTCCCCCGGTGGGAACTTAAAGGATGCTTAGGAGTATAAATAATAACAATAACTGCTGCAGGAGGAGGGGAGAGGAGGGCAGCAGCTGCAGCAGGGGGAAAGGGGCTAGAAATGGGGCACAAGCAGCCATTTGCAGCGGGGAGGATCAGCCTTTGCAGGGCTGCTCCGTGTGCAAAGTGACTGTAGCGAAGGGATTTGCATGGTGTAAGCCGGACTGTCCCAAAGGAGCCAAAAACATCAACCTCCCTCTGCCCCAAAGGACCCCAAAAAAATCAACCTCTCTCTGCCCCCATCAGCATGCGAGCCCAGCTATCTGGGGTAGCTGGAGACCACTAATCAAAAAGGAAAGCCGTGCAAATCCCTGGCTTTCTAGAAACTCTCCTAGCCCTACAAAATGGGGGAGAAGAAGGGTTACAGTGCAGGTTAGCAACTGGGCTCAGCTGGCCCCTGCAGCTTGGAGAAGGGGCTGGCAGAGAGACGCTTTCTAATTTTACTGCTGGCCCCTGTCCTGCCCATGCTGCCAGCCCCAGCCGGCTTGGCTGGTGGTCCCAGGGGAGCGGTAGCACCTGTGGGCTGAAGGACTCTCTGGCAGCGTTAGGAAGGGCTGCGGGAGGCACTGGCTGGCAGAGGGGGTTTTCGGGAGCTCAGCACAGGCAAGATGCCTTTTTGCGGGTGTCGCGAGCACTTTTCGGGCAGGAGTGTGAGAGCACTGGGTTCCTCTGGCTGTGGGCTGAGGGAAGTTGTTGTCCTGGATCTGCAGGCAGGAGCTGGTACTACTGCCTGGTGTTAGGTTACTCATGTTCGCAGACACGGGTTTTCCCCGTGGATCCTGTTCCCTCCCAATCTCCTGCCCCTTTTCTGTTCTTGAGCCCCTTCCAAAGCATGGACAGCCGATATGCCCCCGTGCTTGCCTGCAAATCCAGCCCTAAGCAGCTCCTCAGCAGATCCAGAAATAATGTGTGTGGCTGCGGGGAACCTTCCTCCATCCAGCTTTGCTGGTGCACCTTTGTGTGGTCCTGCACGCTCTGTGACCCCCTGGATGGTGCCTGCAGCGTCCCTGCCACGAGGAGAGCATCAGGGATGGGACGTTGCATGTAAGCCCCAGTAATGTGGAGAGAGTCCCATGCTGGGGATGGATAATATCGTTGTTGGGGTCCAGGTAGCAGTTCTGCTCTTTAGTTCGTGCATCAGAGCGGTTTTAGGTTCAGGGGTCCCTGGTTCAGCTCTGGCTGTAAGGAGCTAGCTGGGTGATTAAACCTGATGAGGAGGAGGGAGGGACAGATGCATGCTGAGACGCACTGGGCTTCGCCAGGCAGACTTTCCAAGCCATCTGGGGCTTGCCTGTCTCCGGCTCAGGTCCCTGAGATTTATGGCTGGAGTGACTTTCTAATCACGGTTTTGCCATCTGCCTGTTGGCCTTTAGCACCCTCCTCTCACCTGTCACCGAGTCCTGCCGCTCCTGCCCGTGCCACCCAGTGAGGAGCACCCTTTCCTCCCCATTGCCCCAGCCGCTTGTCTGAGGTGCAGCCCTTGTTCCTGTGGATCCCTTCTCCCTCATCTTTCTGGGTGGGACCGTCTGATCTCCTGAACAACTCATCCGCACAGCTGAATCCTAATTCTGGTGTCCCCCAGCTCCTGCACCAAACTCTGCTCCGGCTAATGCATCTTCCCACCAACCCACTTCACTCTGCTGCTGCCTCCCATCGACGGTGATTTCAGAGAATCATTGAACCGTTTAGGTTGGAAAAGACCTTTAAGATCATTGAGTCCAACCATTAACCTAGCACTGCCCATGTCCCTAAGCACCACATCTACAGGTCTTTTAAATACCTCCAGGGATAGTGACTCAACCACTTCCCTGGGCA